ACGTGTGTGTGCGTGTGTGTAGGCGTGTGTGGCATCCTTTGGGCCATGTCTACGTGTTTACAGTAACACATGCAATTTGTTGGCCCTATTTGCTGCCAAAATGTTGTAGTTTCTGGTTAACAAATGCCTCTGCACCTGCCAAGCGCTCGCTCTCTGTGTGTGTGTGTTTGTGTTTGTGTGTGGGTGGGTGGGTGGGTGGCACATAGTCATTTAGTTAGTTTGACCTGTGCCTAACTGCCTGTGGCTAAAATGGCATTAGTTAATTTGAATAATTTGACGAATTGAAATTTAATCGAAATCCAATTTGCGTTTCTGACTGATTAATGAGCGGAAAAGCGGATAGATTTTCATTGAATTGCTTTACGTGTATTTTGATATCAATTTCAAGTAATTAGAGCTCAAAAGCTCTTAAATTCGTTTAATTGAATAGTTTCCCTTGCATATTTATCAGCTCAAATTAGACTATTTTAATAACTTAATTACTTAATTATTTTTGCAAATGTAATTTATATTTCATTTAACTATATTTCTAATTTCTATTCTGCATTTATTGCTATTAAATCCACGCTTGTAAACATTTGCTTTACCCGCAACAATGTGAAGCAACATAAGCATATACATTTTAATCTGCTGTTGCGCAACATTTGTTGCTACAGTCAGCTGAGACTGCCAAAAGTACGTTAAATTTGAAACTTAAGTTAGACACTGCTCAAAGAGCAGTTTGTCCATTTCAGAGTAGACTGCAAGTAAGAGATTCTTTTAGATTTCCAACTGCTCAAAATATCGTTAGTGATCTGCAACATTCTTGGTCTCAGACGCTCAAAAGAGTATTTATGTTGTGCTACATCAACGTTTGCCTTTCACATTCTCACCAAAAGTTATACTCACCACGCGTAGTGGTGGTGGTTATGTTGCTAAACGTCTACTGCTGCCTGGCTGCACGTTATGTTACGTTAAATTAGTTTACGTTGTGACTTCGAGCCGTTTGGTCGTGTTAGCTCTTTTACTGAGCTCCTTACCAATCTAGCTGCGCTACGCGTGCGCGCGCCTTAAGCAAAAGCAAAAAAGAAAAATCAAAAGCAAACACAACAATAATAACAGAAGCGGCAATAGGAACAACAACAACAACAACCACCAGCAGCAGTAGTACCACCACAACCACGTCTTGTGTGCAGTGGCAATAAAAAAGGCAGCGACGCCGTCAAATTACCGGTTTTGTTGTCTGCGCTGAGAGTTTTTAGCGCGTCGCAGCTTGCAAATAATTGCACGTTTTTCTCCATTGTTGTTGTCGACGTTGTCGTCGTTGTTGTTGTTGTGGTTAGTGTTAAAAATCAAGTTGGAAAAGTGCGTTGGCTTTTTCGCTTTTCACAGCCGTGCGCGACAAATGGCTTAAATCGCACAATTAGCCAAATATTGTGAATATTACAAAATTCAAGTGAAAAAAAGAGGATTAAAAAATATTTGAAACAAATATATTAAATATTTAATCCATACTATACGTGTTTTGTCTGCTCTACGAGTGCCATAAATATCACAAAAAAAAGAAGAAAATAATTAAATAAATAAATAATAATTATATATACATACGTCATAATAATGCTTACAATCTGCATTGTTTTCATGGCTTTTCACCTTATTGTTGTTGCTGTTGCAGGCGTCTAAAGCGGATTATTTTCACCAGCGCAACGCAAATAGAAAAAACAAGCAAAACCAAACAAAAGCCTGTAAGTTTTACCATTAACCCCGCCATTTCCTCTCACTCTGTTATCCCTGTGCATGTTTGCATGTGTGTGTGTGTCTGTGTGTGTGTGTGTGTGTGTGTGGGCGCCATGTTTTGTTGCATTCGAAGGGGAATCTAGTCTGACACCGGCTCGTCACACGAACGCCAACTATTCACAATAAACAAACCAAAAATGTACACAAGCATGTGTGTATGGGTGTATGTGCTTATGTATGTGTGTGTGTGTGTGCGTGTTTGTGTAAGGCCAATTGCCAACTATTTTGATTTTGTTTTGTTTTTCTCTCACCAGAATATTTCAGCTGTGCTTTTTTTTCTATGATTCAATAAACAATGCTGGACAGCAGAGTTGAGGGGAATTCAACAAAAATGTTGACGATTTTATTGCAATGTTTTAGAAATTTGTATTCAGTTTTTAATGGCTGCAAGCTGAAAACTGAAGGGACTATTAGTAATATTATTAAAGAGCTTGGTAAATTCATTTTAGTTGTTTTTTAAATGTAAAAAACCTTCACAATCAGCAGCTTGTACGCGTAAATATTAGCTTAGATCTTGATATCAATCAAAAGCGTTCAACCTTACTTTTTGAGCAGTGTGTAAGCAAAAATATCTTCAAATTTTCTGTCGTTCGATTAACGAAACTGGTAAAAGGATTTGAAGGGAGTAGAACTGTAGTTTTGAAGAAAAAAAACTTGATATGTAATAAAAGCGTTCAAGCTTATTTTTTCACCACTGCGTAAGGCAAAATATCAGGTAAACGTCGCACTTTTTCAGTAGTTACCAGAAATTTGAGAAAACTCAGCTTAACTCTGCGTATTAGTTTCTCTGTAATTTTCAGTTCTTTGTTAAATTTTGTGTTAACTTTACTAACTGCTTTTACAGCAATTCTAAATACATAAAATAAAATAGAGATCGCAAAAGCGTCCAATTAGCAGTGGTATAAGCCAAAAACCTGAATGGAAGAAACACTTGGACAAATCTAAGAAAAAAATAAAGAAAAAAGTCTATAAAAGAGAACTAAGCCAGAAAAGTATTTGTCCGCTTTTGCCGCAATTCACACATTTGGCTTAGCTCAGAAAAGTTCAGTTTGCCAGGTTCAAAGTGAAGGCGAACATAAAACTTGAATACCAAATGAGACAACAAAGAAGGAACCACAATAAAAGTCACATTAAAACGTGTACGAGCGAAACAACAACACGAAGAACAACCGCAAAACACGTGTGAGAGAATAACAAACAAAAAAATACGAAACTCAGATACTAGATACAAATGTATCTTTTTGTATGTTTCGACTGCATTTTTGACAAGTGACTAGCGCATTTTACGCCATTTACACGCTCTTTGCATGAATATTTCAGAGCGACGAAATATAGTTCGTCTCTCTTTCTCGGCATCTTTCGCATCTGACAGATTAATTATTAACAGAACGCTTTTTGGCTCCAGACAGACACCAAGCGATTCATTTGTAATGCAACTGAATTTTATTCTACTGCCTTTTGGTGTTTTTTTTTTTTTTTTTTTTTTGTGTGCCACAAATCATAAAACATAATAATTGCTGCTGCAAAGCTGCTACAAGATTCATAATGTGCTGCTGGCGCTGCTGGTGCTTCTCTTTCTAGTTGGAATGTTGGGCCAATCAGAAGGCAAGTCCAGTTTGGCGTCTTCTGCTCTGATCGGAGGTTTTTGTGGCAAGTTGTGGGCCAACTGCAGCAAGTAGCAGCAAATTGTTGTAAAACGGGTTTCTCTTATTTGCCTTCTTCTTGTTTCTTTTGTTGCTTCCCCTAATGTTGCTTTGCTACTAGTTGCCACTCTCTCGATCTGACGATCTCCCTCTCCCTCTCTCTCTTTATCTCTCTGCCTCACTCTCTCTATTTCGCTCTCTCTCTCTCGTTGTGTGTTCTCTTTTGACCACAACAAGTTGGCCGAGGCAACCTTTGCATTGCCGCTGTGCGTGGCTCTAGCTACCAAAATGGGTTTCTTTTTTTGCTGCAGCTGTCGCTTGGCCATCCTGCCCAGAATGTGTGCAACGTGCCTCTCACCCCGTGCTCCTGCCCTTGCACTCTGTTTGATGTGGCAAATATTTCTTGTAAATTGCAGCGGCAACCTGTCGCCCAAGCCGGTTTTTTACTTTGAACACACGAGCTTGAAGATGTTTTCCTTGTTTTTTTTCTTCCATTTTTTCAATTTTTACTTTTATTATTAATATACCCTGTAAGCAAAAATGTAGGAGACTCAAGCAGGCAACAAAGTAGCCATAAAGCATGTGAAACTTCATCAGCAAAGTTAATTTGTTGCGCCTTAACAGCTAAGATTTTCTTTTAGATTGATGTTAAAATTCAAGCCAAAAATACAATTGATTTTCAATCTTTATTTAGTTCAGCAAATATTTCAAGGTGTGTAGATCTGTTGGATTCGCATTCCATATTAACAAACATTGAATAGATTTATCCCAAATAGCAAAAAGACCTTCTGTAGTAAAGTTTAGTATATGTAGTAGATATACTCGTACTCATATAATATATAAATATGTTATTACACTTTTATGTTTTTAGTTTTACAATGAATACTATAAAGGTGCACCTTAGAATTTATATTTAATATATTTCAAAGCTTTCAATCCTTTATATAAGTCCGTTTAGGAAAGTCGCACGTATTTTGTGTTGTACAAAAGAGGAATAATTTCGGAGCATTATTTGATTGTTTTATGGTCATTGTTTCTTCAAGCATTTTTTTTTTTCAGTTAGCTTCGCAGATGTTGTTTGATCTACATTGTAAGATTCGAGTTGCAATTAAATTTTACAGCTTGCTGTCGTGCGGCAGCTTGCCGGTTTGCCACATCATGATTCCAGGAAAAAGGCAACTCATGTCGCCCAGTTTTCAGCGCTTGTTAACTAACCTCAGTCAAGAAAACGCAAGCCGGCCGGTTTTAGATTTATTTTTTTGCCTGTCTTTTCTTATTTTTTTTTATATTAATAACTTGTTTGGCACGCAACACACACACACTACACACACACCGTACACACACACCGTACACACATACGTATGATATCTTTCAACTGCTCATTAATTAATATTTAAATGCGACAAAGTTGTTCTCAGTTTCTTGTTGCTTTTTTCTGATTAGTTTTGTTGCGTGTCAAACACGCGCTGATTTATGCGCAGAAACAAGGGCTTTGTCAAGATGAATTTATGAAATTTTCCATATGTATACTTAGAGATACATTTAATATAGTTTCTTATATATATTCTTCTATTTGGACAGCTGCACACAAATTTGGCATTTTACATGACGGCCTCTGCAAATTGGTAAGTCGCCCGTTCATATTTGTTTTGGGTCATTTATTTGGCCTGGCAGCCCACATCGATGACGTTTCCAAAACTCGAATTGACCCAAGCAAACACTTCACAATACAGTTGATGTGTGTGTGTGTGTTATTTTTCCAGACAAATATCTTTGAGATACAAACACGTAACTGGTGTAGGCTGAAAAAGCAATCGAGAACCGGTTTTCATTTTGGGCCACACTCGAAAATTGTTATGTTATGTTATGTTAGAATGAAAGCTTAATTGATGCATATCCATTCGATGGTTTATTTATTTGTTTCTCTCTCCCTCTCAGTCGTATTCATAATTTTTATTTCTGTCCGTCTGTCCGTCTAGCCGTCCGACACAGCAGCCCGATTCACAGCTGGATTGGTTATGTCATGCGGCGACAAGCCCGTGATTGATGAACCGCTTTGAATTCCCAATTTGAATAAGATAACTTCGGAAATTTGAGATTGCCCACAATCGTTGTGTTTGTTTTTATAACAGCCACAAATTCTGATTTGTACTCATCGCTGCTGCCCGTTGCTGCACAGCAACAGGTGTAGAGGTGCATGAACTGAGCCCAGAAATACATATTTTTATTGTGCCCCTCTTATGGCTCTGGAAAGACTTGAAAATAACATTTGCGCCAAGCTCTGCTCGATGTAATTATTATTGTGGCGTATTCCATCTTTCTTTTTTGTATGGCATAACTCTTTGAGCAGCTTATCATTGTGGTGAATACATCAACAGCTCTTTTGAATGATTTTACACATAACTTAAATCAATAAGCATATTTGTCACGCGTATTTAATTCGACGCTTATCAAGATTTTGATTTACATATTTTGTTTCTATTGTGATTTGTTTATTCATGCGACTAAAATCTGTTAAAACATTTCATTCAAACGAATCGCTTACGCTAGGCAATATGATTTATGGATTTTATTAATTGGCATTAGTTTGAATGCCTTATTTTATTCAATATCAAAATCATGATTTGTCAAACATTTGTTTGTTTTAATGCTTTTGTTTCATTTCACTGATAATAACTAATTCTGTGTCATGCTTTCTATTTTACTCTAATGTCGGCTATTAATAGTCAATGAAATACATATATATGTATATAATATGTAATTTTCTTCAGACTTACCTCACGTTATCTCTCTCTCTCTCTTTCTTATTTGTTTATTGATTACACGAATATGCGATTAATAATAATATTTTCGCTTACTACATATGTATATAAATATAACTGATAATTTAGTTACTCTCGCTTGCAGTTAGATTTGAGCTCACGTTCAAATTCGTTTATGCCACTTTTCATATATGTCACGATTATAGTTGAGTGTTTGGCACACAAACTTTGAACTCAATTTGACCCCACTTGAGGGTCGTATTTCCGCCTTAAGTGCTTTTTTATTGTGAGTATTAAACTTAAGCGTTAAGTATTCAAGACAAACAGCTTAAGTCAAATGGTTTATATGCATATTCTGCATTTTAGCTTTTCTAAAATACACTTTGAGCAGTTTGGTAACACAGAATAAAGATTATATGGATTATATGCATATTTTGCAGTTGCAGTTGCAGTTGGTCTAAAATGTACCTTAAGTAAAACAAAATAATAAATCACAAAACAGCTTCTAATACTTTACTACACGTCTTCACTGCTGTAATTTATAACAAATAAATATGTATGAGTGCCAAATGGCTCGCAGATACTCCTTGCAATCAATTGAAAACGAATAAACCATTTTTTGCCCTTTTAGTATGCGGTGCCCATGGAAAATGCGCTTTCAAATGTATCGTTTCCTGTATCAGTATCAGTATCAGTATCTGTATCTGTATCTGTTTCAGTATCTGTATCACACTGACACTTAGTAAAACGTGTGAAATCCTTTTCTTTTCTATGTACAACGAACCAATTCGAGCGGAGTTGATCGATTGCTCGTCAAAATGGCGAAATGGTTGACTGAATAAATTGGCTAATTGCCGAGCATTTTACCAACTGTGAATCTTTCTAAAAGCTTAACAGCTATATCCCTGTATCTATATATGCCTGTCTATAGCTGAATGTGGAATGTGTTGAACTAGGTCATTGCTCCCATCTTTATTTTTCTATGTGTTTTGTAAATTTATTGAGCTCTCCTCGCTGTGTGGCAGGAAGAGTGTTGCCCGTGTGTCCAGCACTGTGTCAGCAGGCAAGTGCTCTCAATTTGTTTAGATTCAACTATAGATACATAGATACTCATCGAGATGTATATTCATGTAGTTTCATCTGGTGTTGCTGTTGCTGCTGCTGCTGCTGCCTTTGCATGCTCATTAGTGTTAATTCAATTACAGCCTGGCTGCCTGTGGCACTTTGGATAATGAGCCAGGCGCTGGTGCGATGACTCGATAGCTGCTATTCAACTCGTTTCAACACAATTTGTTACAATTGCATTAATTAGGCGAAACAAATGTGCCAACGGCGGCCATCCAATAACTATTCAACCTGCATTCATAGCAATTTCCCATCATTTTAATTTTAATTTTTGTTTTTTAATTAAAAAATTTGTTTGCGCACAACCTGTCGGGTCAAGTGTGAAATGTTATTAATAAAATGTGAAGTCAAACAAGTCGAGAGATATTCTCGACTAGGAGATGTTGTAACTATATTAAAAATCGTAAATAGTAAAATCAAATTTTTAAAAATGTAATGAATACAAAAATAATGAATATACAAAAAATAATTGAGCTTGATGCTTTGGATAATATGAATATAACATACAACAAGTGTGTTTTAAACTGGAACGGGTAATTGACTTTTATGAAACCAGAATAAACTACATGTGGTATACGATAACTTATATTCCATTACTGGGTTTAACAAGTTAGCTAGCTATTTTTAATGAGTTTGCTTAATTTAAGGTTTGGTTAGAGGATATCTGTGGTAGAGTACGGTTGATAAGATACTGTTTAAGGTACCTCAGTTCTTGCTAATGGGTATCTGCTAGTTGAACACGTTTAATTCGAGCATTACACTTGCTTTATTTACAACATCAAGCGACACTGCAACTGATTGCATAATTAATCGCATAATGCACACTCGGTCGAGTTCATTTGATAAAAACAGCACGATTGCAAGTGCGAAGCAAAGAGAAAGAGAGAGAGAGAGAAGAGAGAGAGAGAGACTTAGAGAGTGAGAGCCGTAGAAATGCTTAATTAGAGTATGCATTTAATAATTAAACTGCACAGCTTGCCATCATTTATTGGCTTAATGAAGTTGACCGCAGCAAATGCAATTTCTTGGCAGCTGCTGCCACTTACTTCGCCGATGTCTCAATGCCAATTTAAAGGCGCTGCCGCGCCCACTCTAGAGTGTGCCCGACAGCTTGTCAGGCTGTGTCAGATGTGGCAATTGTCAGGCTCTGATGCTGATGCTCTGCTGTTTATCAGAAATCGTCAAAGTCGACTTTAGTTTGCCACCATATAAAGTTAGTTCTAACCCCTAACTTCGAATTCAACCCCTCAAACAGGGTAAGCCCCCCACTCTCCCCTTTAGTGCTCATTTCATTTATCACAATTTGCATGTCAGTCACGCTTTCAGCTTTGTACTTATATAAACTGCTTGCAATTTATCAGCATTTGCATTATCTACTCGTATCGTCTGACCCATTTTTTTCGTGTTCCTTCAACTGCTTGCATCGAAAACTATACAACATTTACACAAAGCACTCTGTGAGGAAAGCTGAAGAAAATATAAATGACAGGCTCTTTAGCTGTTGTAGATACCAAATTCATATACATTATATGTGAATACATTTGTGCATGATAAGTATTTGATATATGCTGCTTTGACAATTCTATGTTGGATGCTTGGTGACCTCTTTCTCAAAATTTAAAAATGTATTTCTCTTGACATGGCGTCAAGTGTCTTTTATTTTTAATACTGTCTGTTCAGTCAGCTGTATAGTTTGAAACTTTGTTTTAATTCAGTCAAATTTGATATCACAGCAATTTTAATTTAAAGCAATTTTATTCATAAATATTTGTATAACATTTTATAGTTGACCTAGTCACATTTATTCTACTTTTATTTCTGTTTTCACAAATTTTAACTAGCTCTCAACAACAAGACAAATTCAAAATGCATATGACAAAATGTGAAACTGTTGTTGCTAAAGTTTATGGTGGTTTTCAAGCGTAGCTGCTCGGAGTTTTGTTTATTTAAATACTTGAATATACATTCATTTTTAAATATTATATATTGTTGTTGGGGGGACTTCAACCTAGTTAGATTTATTTTGTCCCATCTGAGGCTATCTTGAGGATTTTTATGTGTTCCGAGCTTAAGACACGTTTCCCTGGGATATTGCATCTTCTTCAGGGTAAGGCCACACAATTTACTCTGATGTACTTTGAGGATTCTCACTTATTGCCATTTCCACTCAATCGGCAAATGGCGCTACTGATTATATCTAGTTGATCAGCTAGCTTAGTTGTAAAAGTGTCGATAGTTTTCCAAATGAGTTTGCAAGTCAGCGCATTTAGCATAAATTAAATTATAAGCCAAGTTCATTTCGAACCAGTTCTTCTACATTAAAGTGGATAAAAGTCAACACCTATTTGCGGATCCACTGCGCACAAATGTATGCTATGATTTTGTGTGTGAGCTTGTCAAATTTATGTTCTGCTTATCTCATTACGTTTAGGCCTTCCACACACGCAATAAAACTGACATTCACACACACACACACGCAGACACACACACACACACACATACACACAGTCACATATATGGCATTATCATAATGATTTCACTGACTGCTGCCTGTTTGCCAAAATATCGCCTGTCACTCCAAGCTATTAAATGAAATGCACATCAAAGCAAAGGTGTGACTGTCACACACTCACACACACACACACACACACACAGGTAGTTGTGCATGCCGTTTACATAGAATTGCCATTAATAGTGAGCAGAGTCAACGCAAGGGTTTCAGTTGTGCCATCAACATG